TTTTTTTTTTTTTGGCTGAACCAGGGACTGAACTCAGGCCCTTGAGCTTGCCAGGGAAGTGCTTGTCCCACTGAGCCATCTCCCCAGTCCAGTTAACTCCTATAGTTCCTTTTTCCATTGTTTGTATTCTCCAAAACACAAACCCAAACATTTCTGGGCTTTGGCTCTCTACAGCCTGTCTGCTCATACTCAAGTCCACTTAGGGTATACACATTCATTTCCCCTCTCTTCCTTTTACCTCAGTTTTACAAGGATGATTTCTATGTAATACAATATCTTTCTTCTACCCTCACCTTACAGTGACACCTCAGACATCTTTAAAAACAAATTATCAGCCTTTCTATCTTCAGTCTCTGTATTTATCTGAGTTTATTGAGTGTTCTTTTTAACTTTAGTACCTTTTTATATTTTGTGACTACTGGGGATTGAACCCAGGGACTTGCATATGCTAGGAAAGTGCTTTACCTGAGTCCCAACTCACTGTCAACACCACCATCCTTTTAATTTTGAGATAGAATCACTGAGTTATTGTGGCAGTCCTTGAATTTGGACTCCTCCTGCTTCAAACGTCCCAAATAGTTGGGATTAGAACCACACACTGTTGTACCTGACTACCTTAGTATCTTTGAGTACCGTTTTATATTTAAAGGCTAATTGGTTACAGCTGCAAAAATGGATACAGTAGAGGCTCAGCAAAACAAAGTTCACTATACTTAGAGATCTTAGAAGCAGCATGGGTTGGGTTTTGTTGGGTTTTCTTTGGGAAGGGCAAGGCAGGCCAGATAAGGACTGGTTAGTTTGAATCATTTCACAGGGTTTTAAGCTATAAGGGTGGTCTCTTGAATGAGTAATAGAAGAAACAGCAACCTTCAGAGTCATTGTTAGAGATGAACTTGGAATTGATTGATTAGTGTATCAAAGATAATGGGCTCCTGGCTGGCCCCTTGGCTATGTCTAAGAATTGACTAAGCCTGGGGGACAGTCTCTCTTCAAGCAGAAAGGGTTTTTAACATATCAAAACATCATAATAAAAAAATCATATATTTTTTAAAATATTTACAGTATAAATACATACTTTCATCTTATTTTCCTAAGAGACAGAGCCACGGCACATAAATACTAATACTAATACTATTAGCAGTGGTTTACTTGTAGACCATTGTACCAAGAATCAGTCTCATGTTAATTAATGTTTTGTGACTTTCAAGGAGCTTCTTACCATTTTTACAGGAACTAGAGGGTGGAATCAGTGCGTAGAATTTTTATGGACTCTGTTTGGTCCTAAAAGCACTTGTTTCTGTTTTTCACAATCTTATCTGTCAGATTTATTGGTGTGTGTAATATATCATAAGCAGTTTTCTGTAATTGTGCATGATTCTTTCCCTGAAAGACTGACAAGTAAATGAACCACTATCTTAAAAACCTTATATAAGTAATGATTTCTTATGGAGAAATCAAGGCAACCACTAATGATAAAGTGCACAGCTTTAAAATTGTGAAACTTCTGTGTATGGCTTTATGGAAGTAACTCTATGTTAAACTGCGTTTTATGCTAGTTTATAATTACTTTATGAGTATTAACTCTTAATTCCATCAGCTGAATATAGCTAATTAATCTGTATATCGTTTCCTATTTGCAGGATACTCTGGGGGAAAAAGTGATCTGTATGAACTTTAAGAAAGTGAACATATATATTCCTTTTATAATTACAGCCCTTCAGGATCATGCAGTATACCAAAGAAATTGGGATATATAATAACAGAAATTAGCACCTTTTAGAAATAATGCTTTAAAGTTCTAACTTGTGTCTCCTTCTGTTGAGCTCTGTGTATGTGTACACACTTAAGTGTGAAGATGGGAGATAAAATGTTCCAAAGGAACAGGAAGCATTGAACCATACACATGCCTGTAGTTCCTAACATTTTACTCAGTACATAGAATTCTGACTTCTTCTAAATAACTGACTGGAGTAATTTGAAATCTGTATCATTATCACCTATGGTTCATACACATTCCTGCAAAAAGGAATAAGGACACTAATTTTGTCCTCAAATTTCTATGGAGTAGGCGTGGCTCATCACAGAAAAGAATCACAGGGCAAGGCAGTGGGTGGTATAGACAGATTTCTTAGCATGCACCCTAGGACTATGCATGCTCAAGGGATTGGGTGTAGTTTTGTGATCTTGGTGATGTCCTCAAGACAAAGTCTAGGATGTGGGTTCCTAGACTCTGTCAGGTTACTCCTTAGTCAGCTAAGTTAAAATGCAAACCATTTATTTGCATGTGTTGAAAGTGTAGAGACATGGTACCCAGTTATTAGTGCTGTTCCCTTTAGGGTGGAAGTTTGTGGAATTTGTAGATTTATAGTATCAGAACAGAAACACAGGGTCCAAGTTGTAAATTTATTTGTATCTTAAAGATTCTTAGAAATCTGTAAATGAGAAGCCAGGAAGAAAAACAGGACCTAGGAGGGAAAGAAGACAGTAACTGTGGGTAACTTTGTATCTTGAAGCTGTGATTTCCTTAAAAGTATTAAAATTAAAACTACCTTGTCTCATTTTTACCTATCTCTTATATTCTGCCTCATTTTGGTCCTTAGGAGATACTTCTGGGTGTTAAGGTTCCACATCTTTTCATAAATTAGTCCTACTCCAACATCAAACACTTGACCTAACATTTTGAAAACTAGAGTGGAGCCCTAGTTAGTAAGATATAGGTAGAAAAAAAAAAAAGATATAGGTAGCAAACTACTTAGGAAACAGTATAGCTAGTTTTTCTTATGATTATCATACAAGGTTGGGCCATTAAATTGTTTCATTAAAGAGTTTAAGCCAATAGTAAATCTTTTCTGTTATTGGTAAGGTGACCAGTGAATTTCTATCCCAGCCAAGTCTCAAGCCAAATGCGAATAGAAGCAAACACTCCTTGTAACTCTTTGGAAGTCTGCCTCTGCAGTACTCCAGTAATGAAAATGATTTTGTAAAGCCATCCAAAGTCTCATGCTCATTCCAAACCCAGCATCTATACCTGAGTTCTCCAACACACCTTATGAGTGTAATTCATTATGTACTGTTTTGCTTCTGTTCATTAAACTTTATTAATATTATGTGTTTTTCCTGCAGTCCTACATTTTCAAAAAAACTCTTTTCACTTTGTCTTTTTTTGAATCTCTTCCCCTTGGAGGTATTTAGAAAATTGCTTATGCAAAATAGGTTCCTAATGAATATTAATAACTGATACTTGATAACTGATACTTGGAGTTTATTTCAGTAGTTAAAATTATTTTTGCTTGCTTTCCAGGCACACAAACCAATGGTCTGGACTTTCAGAAGCAGCCTGTGCCTGTTGGAGGAGCAATCTCAACAGCCCAGGCTCAGGCTTTCCTTGGACATCTCCATCAGGTAGAATCTTTAGCTCAAGCATAAGTTGGAATAAAAGACTGAGACAATGTGCTGGGGTTTGGGAATACTATTTCAGAGTGTGAGGCTTTTAAAATTATTTAAAACCTAGTGCCAGTTGCTGCCATTGTTAGGTACCATTCTAAATGTTTAGTATAGAATCATTACAGTGTAGTTGACCATATAGCCACTGCCCCCACAGCTGTGTGGGACAATAAAGAATTTCTTGTTGAACAGAGTATCTAGGTAGGTATCATTGCATAAGACCTGCTGTGTAAGGCTGTGAAGTCAAAGATCACATTCCTCCTTTAAAACAGTTTCAGATCATTTTGTTTTCTGCTTCACTATGAGCCCCTTAATTTGAGGTTAAAAATGTCTACCTCAGCTTTTTTACCCTGTTGCCATATGATTCTTCCTGCTGGATCTAAAAGAAAACATGGCTGCTTTTTATTCTTATTTTAGCTATACTATAGATGCAAAGAGAATGCAAAAACAAACTGCTCAAAAATTTTGGAAGGGCTGGTGGTATAGCTCAGTGGACTAAGCACTTGCTTAGGTAAGCACAGGGGCCAGGGTTCGATCCCTGGCACCAAATGCCACACCAGCCCCGCCCCCCAGGCACACTGAGCCAGCGATGAAGTCAAGGTATAGTGGTGCGCACCTGTAACCCCAGCACTAGGGAGGCAGAAATCAGGAGGATCATT